TGTGAGTTCCAGGCCAGCATGGTCTACATAGTGAGTTCCAGGCCAGCTGGGGCTACAGGGAGAGCCTGTCTCAAAAACACCACACACAAAAAAGTCTATTATCCTATATGAAGGGTATTAACAGCATACTAGTTAACATCCAAGATCTTATTTCCTGGTGGCTGTTTGTAACGCCAGTCCAGGGGATCTGACATTTGATGTGCTTTCTGGCTTCCATGGGCATTGCACTCACAACAAACATGCAGGCAAAACATGCATACACAGCGAATAAAAAGGTAAACTGCCTTGAGACTGTGACCATCCTGAGCTACCCTTCAAGGACTTCTTACAACAAAACACAACACAACTGGGGGCTGAAGAACTAGCTCAATGAGTTAAGTAAGAGTATTTGGTGTACCAGCACAAGGGCATGAGTACATTTCAGCACTCATGTCAAAACAACAACAACCCCCCCCCCCCGAAAAAAAACACCACACACACACGAAACACACAAATAAATTACAGGGCTGTAGGAGGAGAGACAAGAGGCTTGCTGGTTACCAGCCCAGCTTTAGGCTCAGTGAGAAACCCTGTCTCCAAAGAGGAAGGTGGCTTGGTGGAGCCCCCCTTCAGCCCCAGCACTCAGGAGGCAGAGGCAGGCAGATCTCTGTGAAATCAAAGTCAGTCTGAGCTGGGGCTACAGGAGACTGTCTCAAAAAACCAAAGAGAGAGAGCCAGAGAGCAATCGCACAAAGGCAGACAGTGATAGAATCATAACACCCAATGTCCTGGAAGCATGTATACACATCACAAAAACACAGGGAAAAAAGTTAGGTTTGAGTACTTTTCTGATAAAAATATATCACAGCCTACTAGTAAATATTCAGGGTTTGAAATTATAGAATTTCCAATTTTTGCTTATCCTTCCTATTCAAAGGAGTAAGAACACAGAACTGATCACTCAAGCCAGAGACAAAATTAAACAAAGAATGCAGACCTTAAGAAAGGCTGACTATAATAACTGTTCTGCTAATAATCTGTTATAAACAAAGTTTCCCAGCTTTAAGAGACTGAACTGGCTACTCAAGACTTGAGAAACAAGTACGTCTTTTGTTAAGCAACCAACCCCTAGGAACACGGGATAGGTATGTTTGCTTTTAAAATTTATTCTTTAAAAAGTTTTAAAATTCTATTTCAAAAAAAGTTTAAAATTCTAGCTGTAGTAGACAAACAGGAGCCCTGACCTTTCCTGAAAGGGACTTTTCTGTTCCTACTGGGGAAAGGGGGAAATCAAGTTATTGCCAGGGGGAGCTTAAGAGAAAGGTTAATCACCTGCAGGGCAGAGTCAAAGGTCACAGTTTTCCCAATAGGTCTCGGAAACTCCCAGACCCACCAGATCAGGACTGGGGTTCAAGACTAAGGTTGCCCTATGTAGGTGAGGGGAGTGACAGGATTACTTTGGGGGTCTTTTCCGGTCTGGTTCCAAGGAAGTATATGATCCTGACATTTCTACTTAGTGATAAACAGCATGGTAAAATAGAGGAGGAGATAACCAGAGAGGAATGGCAGATGGCTACGATGGACAAACCTTAAAGTTATGAATGTAGACAGAAAAATGTAGTATGTTGGGTTTTCTTTCAACTTACTGACTTTAATATCAATGATTTTCTCCTGTCATGTCTTATACTCAATTGAGCACAAATCCATTCTATACCAGGTTTGTCAGAAGATAATCCTCATAAAATAGCAACAGCCTTAAAATGTCAGTTTCTAACCATCTGAAACCTTGAAACTTTAAAGTCACCTTGGTTTCTCTCAAAACAAGATGCTTTAAGATGGCTGGTTAATACAGTCACTCCTATATGACAGCAATGGCTATCTAGGAAAAATATATTATTGTTGTGTCCTAAATCTGTTAAAAAATCTAAACCTTAACCTGCAAGTAACAATATTCAAAAATAGAACTCTAAATACCAAAACATGTTTAAACTAAGGAGATTAGTGACAAAAATAAGCAAGCCTTAGTAAAATCATCTACACCACTGGATACTTATTCAGTCATAAAAGTGGACCAGGTACATGGGACTGCATGGATGAGCTTTGAAAACATGCTGATCCAGACACAATAGGGCAAATACGGTCCGATTCTTTTCATACACAGTGTCTGGAGTAGGCAAACCCAAGGAGACAGCTAGTGGACTAGTAGCTCCCAAGGCCTGGGAGGACTGGGAAGGCTGCTGACAGGGCTTCTGGGAGTAATGACAATGTTCTGGAAGAAGGAGATAGTGGTTAGGAAGCCACCTGTGGTGGCTCATGCCTGAAATCGCCATTTGAGCTACAATGTGAGACTCTACCACAAACAAAAACAGCCCACCCCCCAAAAGTGGTGATGGCTGCACAACCGATAGCAAACTACTGAATTGTGAAAAACTATCCATTTTTTCTTGTTTTTGTGTAGCCCTGGCTGGCTGCAAACTCATGAGATGTACCTGCCTCACTCAGCCTCCAGAGCACTGGTTGGTATTGAGGGTGAGCACTACTGTGTCTCATTCAGTCACTTTCCATCTCCTCACCACTTTTCTGCATAGCAATTTTCTTAAAAGGGGAGGGGGAAAGAAGAGACCTCTATGGATCTCCTCAGGCCTAAAACCCCTCTACATTTCAGGGCTGTAACTGTTTTGTTCCTGTTTCACTGAGAACATGCCCCACCACAGAGAACGCTGCTACTCTTTGGTTCAAGGCAGGCAATAGCACAGAAGCAAAGAGACCTAAGAATCCAAGCACTTGTTTTCCACAGACATGTGGACTCCCATTGAAATGTGTTTTAAGAACCCAGAGGTGCACGGACAATTATTTTTATAAGGATCTCAGGTACCTAAGTTTGGGGCTTATGCAAGGCTGTGGCTTCCCAGCTCATCCAATCTAATGAATTAATTTGATAAACTACAGAATGAAGTTGAAACTCGTGGCTGGGGTCACATGGAATCAATTCCTACCAGAGCAACACACACAGGTGACAATTAACCTGCTTCAATTTCGTCTCTATCACTGTTTTATTTAGGTTCAGAAAATTATTTTCAGAATTTGAACTTGGGCATGCAGAGCTGACTGAGCAGCACTTGGCTCCTCTTTGGTAATCAGGTGCAAGCCACAAAGGCAAGGAAGGGAAGGCTACCGCAGAATGTGTCTGGAGAAACGGGTCATCCCTTGTTATTGCCATCAAATACTCATAACTACCCTTTTTGCAGACTACTCAGTAACAGGTGAGACAACTAAGGTTTAAGAAACGGATGTTAAAACACATTTACGTGACCTCAAGCTGTATAGAAGCATAGCTTGACTATAAGGGAAGTAATGGCATCAAGTGCTGACTTATTCGTAAAATAACCTCTATATGCCAGTCCCTCACTTTCCTAAACCTGCTAACAATGCATACTATTGCCATCAATACCACACTTCCAAGTTTTTTTTGGTCTAGAAAAAGCAGCTTAACAATTTGGTGAGATCAAATACCCAACATATAAACTAGCCTAGTTTTATAAAGTTAACCTACCTTTACCCAAGTACCTAAAGTGAAATAGTATGCCAAATTTAGCAAAATCATCTCAAACCCCAACCTAACCTTCCATCATTTCTGTTACTGGAAAACCATGGCTTTTAGTTTTAACAGGGCGCAAACTATTGTCAACTACAGAATATGCGGAAAGCAACGTTTGATTATTAGATACTGGCTAGTCTAGTTTCATGTAAACTAGCTCCAGCTAACTCTGCTGAGTAGATGCTAACCAGAGATTGGACCTAGAAGAGCGCCCCTACTAGATATCCGCAGGATCCCTTCCGTACGCTCTCAATCAGCCTCATCCAGCGTCGGTTATGTCATCATGATACACCCAGAGAAGCTTTTCTGTTCAGTCTTTCCATCTCCCACTTCACTCATTCCTCCGAATTTCAACATTTTAATACTCCAAAGGCACATCGTATATCGAGGCTCCACCCAAAGGAGAATTCACCCAAGTGTTAAGGGGTTCTACTTAAACCCGGCAGCTACTGTGGGATTACTTTGTCTTGTCACTGTCCCAACAAAAGTAGTTGTGTGTGCCCTTTACACAGTAAAAGGACACCGACAGGACAAAATACAGTGGCCTTTCCGAATTCTAAACCGGAAATATTTTACATATGCCGATAAGGTTCCTTTGCCTTAGGTGATTTTTTTTCTGACCTGCGCTGGAAGCAGTGTTCAAACAGTAAAACCCACCGTCCGCCTTTTAGAACTGTGCTTGGGAAAACAACAGCTGCGACAAGAAGCCCGGCTCCGGAGACCGGCGCTGCTTCGGTGGCAGCCGTCCTGAGCGTGAAAACCAGCCCTGCCAGTCTGCAGACACCACACACTCGAAAACCAAGCGAAACCAACTGCCACCGCGAACAGACCCGCGGCGGGTAGAGCGGGCGCGGAGCGCGCCGGGTGACAGGCTGCAACCGCCGCCGAACCGCACACGCGAGCCCTACGTGCAGCCCCAAGTCCCGCCCCGCAGCGGCGACGGCCCGGGCCTGCGTGACCGCGGGGCAGCAGCCACGAGCCGGCACCGCCGG